GGGGGGGGGAGCGAAAGGCTCTAAAACCCCCGTATCTCCCCCCTGAGGGGCGAAAATTCGCTCCTTTCACCAATTTAAGACAACCCAAATGCGCAGGGACCAAGGAGGAAACACAAGGAAAGATCAAACCTGAGATTTAATGCAAAGAAACCTGGATCGGCGGCCAAGGAGAAAACTGCTAGAGCTGCCTGTCTCTGCGAGGCTGAGCTAAAACTGGGGGAACGCATGGAGGAGTCACATGGAGGAGGAGGAGCGTTCCTTCAATTATAGCTCAGCCTGTAAGAGTGAAGACTAGAGCACCTCCCACTCTCTGGATGCTCGGAGCAGTTCTACGGAGAAGCTGTTTTGCATTTGGCTGGCTCTTACTAAGTTAAGTCACTCCTTAGTCAGCCAATCATGAACATTTATGTCATGCCAAGGGGAAGTCCTTACCTCCCAGAAGCTGTCTGTTACTTCTTCAACAGATGCCACAGACTCATCACAGGAAGTTGACATTGTCAGCGGCCCTGGTTATTTATCGCCAAGGGGTCAGCCGTTCTGCCAACAGGACCAGACCTCATGCGCTGCAAGGAAAGAACACAAATGGGTAGGGGAAACAATCACCTGAACTTTACCTGGAAACAAGCAGAGGCCTTCTGGGAGACGAAATGCATGGTTTTCTATTATCTTCCCGTTTATGCGAACCTTTCACCTTTTGCCTTATGGTAAACAGCACCATATTCTGAAATAGTTTTTTTTTTTTAAATTTATCCATCAGACCCTTTTTTCAAACATTTTCTCTTAGCAGGAGACAAATCTAGGGACATAAGGTCTTTCTGCATTTCTACAGTTTCCAGGCATAATTAATTAAATGCCACCATGTCAGATTGAAAAGCTTAAAAGTAAAACCCGAAGAACTTGTTCTGATTTTCTGAAAACATCTGCTAAATAAAAAGCACTTCATAAAGAGAATGTAGAAATATTTCATCGGTTACAAAAAAAAAATTGTACATGGCAGAAATATTCACAGTGAAAGCAAGGTTCTCAAATAGAACTAATGCACACTTTTGTTGGCTTTCAATACTCCATAAATATTTTGTGATATCTTCAGTAGCAGGTCACATGACACAAACAAGAAAATTGCTGGGAAAATTCACTAGAATTGGCCCCTTACTAAGCTTTTGCACTATTGCAACTTCATTGCAAAGTTATTCTTCAGGGAAATAATTTCGTTAGCATTAAAATTCATACAGAACATTCTGAAATCGTCTTAAATCCCAAATGATAAAATCAAATTGTAATTCAAGTTTGCTAATTGGAGAAGATGAGAATATTTCTTATAGTTAAAGACAAATAGGAATGCTGGATTTGGGATGTAAACATCCCACATATCAATAAATGGCTAAGCATTCTGTATCTTTTTGGTATTGTTTTGTAGTTAGTTAGATTTTTTTCAGCACAGAATGAACAATTTTAAACTCAACTGAATGCAACAGATTTGATTAGGCTGGTATTGAAAAATTTTGCCTGCAGTATAGTTTTGTGTGTGTGTATGTGTGTGTGTGTGTGTGTGTGTGTGTGTAGTTGAATTCTCCCATTGTATTAATTCATAATTTGTTCCACAGTGGCTTGATAAATAAGGTAATGGGCTTTTTTTTGCAGCAAAGAAACTAAGACTGATGATATCATGTCATTTGAATGACATGTCCAAAATGTTTGGTTGTATTTTGGGAGTTTAGGGAGGATTTAGGTGGATTTATTTTGCTTCTAAGAAGAATAGACCCAATGTGGGCAACTTTTTTCTTTCTTTTTGGTTATTTTGTTGGATTTGTTGATATTGTTACTTTCAGTCTCTTAAGGCAAACTATCAATCTCAAACTTGTTGAAACTTAGATCCTGCCCACTTTGGAGGAGCTCTGGATAATGAGAACTCCAAGATCAGAATCAGAATAGAGCTGGAAGGGACCTTGGAGGTCTTCTAGTCCAGCCCCCTGCTCAAGCAGGATATCCTATACCATTTCAGACAAATGGCAGTCCAGTCTCTTCTTAAAAACCTCCAGTGACGAAGCACTCACAAAATCTGAAGGCAAGCTGTTCCACTGGTTAATTGTCTTCACTGTTAGGAAATTTCAATTGCAGGTTGCTTCTCTCCTCAATTAGTTTCCATAGGCATGTTTGACTCTGGAGATTCAAATGGTCCATCCTCATTCTAAGCCATAAATATGATCTGCATCATACAATGCCTAAGTTGCTAAATATGCCATACAGTATATGATCTCAGTCAATGATGGTGTACAGTAGAATATATTTCAGTTGGCTAACCTAGTAGATTATTAAACCACACCATGCGTGCAGGAAAAAGAGATGATTTCTTTTCTTCCAGGAAGCATCAATTGCTTCAGCACCTTCTCCAAGGTAAAAATCACATATAGCAGAGAAGCAAAGAAACAGACCAAGTTTATTTTTTTATATTGTTTGCTTTTAACCTTGAATTTACATGAGTAAAGGCCAACGTATGTTCAGTTGAACCCTTATTATTCAGGTGAGATCAGAGATTCTATAAAAACAAGCTGTTTTGAAGTAGCTGTCATGTAATACTGTCACTTCCAAATCATCCTTACTTAGATAATCATAGCAGAAACCAGCTTTCCCTTAACATCATCCCTATCCAGCATATTTAACAGATGTTTTAACTGAGAATAAGGGTTGCAACTGAATGACGAAACTTGATAAATTTGTGGTTGTACATGATAGATGGAAGGAGAAAAATAAAGAGAACCAGGCAGGGAAAAGCAACATTACTATCTCTCTCTTAGATAACCAAATGCTGCTCTCTTTTCTGTTGTGCCTTAACTATTTGCCTTTTTCTCTGCAGTCCCAGAATGCTTATCCAATCTTTATCTGCAACAAATTAAACTCAGCAAATCAATTTGGAACTTAAAAAAACACTCGCAATAATAATAAAAAGAGACAATGGTAGATTTAACCCTCTTCTTCCTCCCATCTCTACATAAACAACACACATTTATTTTCACCATGCTTTAAAACCCATTCTGATTTATATATGGGTGTTCAGATACAGAAAATTATGCTAATCATCCATCTAGAATCTAGCTGTGTTACTGTATAAACAGCTTTCCCAGATGATGCTGAGCTGGGCAAACATTCTGCCTGATCACTATTTATTTAGATCAACACATATATTTCCTGTCATCCTCAAAGAAAGGTGAGCTTAACCTGGCTCTAGGCCAGCCTCCCCCAACCTGGACTCCTGCAGAATTCATCTAAATATGTTGGATTACGAGTGCCTTAAGTTTTGATTGCAACTTGATCTTATGGGAAGACTATTATAGATAAAAGTAAATGATTGTACATAAAGATGTATCAGTGTAGATATCTGTATGAGACTGATGTGTAGAATAATTTAACACATATAATAATGATGACACAATACTGTTAAAGTCAAGATTAATGTGTGTTAAAGCTGAAAAAGAACAATAAAAATCATTTTTTTAAAAAAGAAAAGAAAAGAGGCTGGTTAAGAGAAAACACACATCTATCTATTAGGCAGAAGAAAACCGTGGGCGTAATTCTTGTACACCAAGATAGTATTTGTTCTTCATCTGAACATCAACTGCTGTATTAAAAACACAGGATTTCTTGCCTCTACTGAATCTTAGTTTCCCTATTTTTATACAAATATCAAATCAGATGACTTCCACCATAACCACAATATTATATGAGGAAATATAAAGAAAATCTCAATTTGCAATTGGAATGGACTGGATATAATAAATGCCACAGGTGCCAGATCAGTACACTGTTATCAATATAAAAACCCTCATCTGGGAAAATATTTCAGGCTAAGAAATGCCAATATGATCTATTGGTGGCAAAATGGATTTTGCTTGTATGAACCAGTTCCATATCTCATGCCTTTTCATCTCCTCACCTGTGAAAGATATTGTTTCAACATCATGTGAAATCTGATTCAGTTTTATATTGTTATATGATCCATGCTACAAAATGTTCTTGATCCCCAAATCAGCTGTTTGTCAGAATGCAAAGTGACACAAGCACAAATCCTAGGAAGTGAACAAAGATGGGATGAATTGCTTAACTACAGCCCTTGGAAAGTGACACCGACACATCCAAATCCTAGAGCCTTTGGCAATGTGCCTATGGCACTGATTGCTATCTGCAGTCTTAGAAGACCCTTAAGGTTATTATGCAATTTAGCTTGGAGTTGACAATAATCCATTTATGCTGACCTAACAATTTAGAAATGAAGACTAGACAGAATATATCTTGATCAGCCAAGAATAGTTGCCTTAAAAAAGAGGTTACTGATTAACCCAAATACTTCTGTTCCTCTTGCTTTGGAACAGGAGTTCCATGAGTTTAATCATGGGCAGAAGGGGAATGATTTTTTTCTTTGGCAGGCTCAACTGATACAGGATTCTGTGCTGAAATGGTTAGAGCTTCTGAGATCATCACAAAAGATCGCTGCAGAGGAACTAATTGCACCTCTAGGGGATTTGCTGTTATCAGAAACCACAGTCCAGGCCACCCTTGAAAATAAATGTGTGACTGCATTCCTCATACGTTGTCACAGCCATGTGCAGATACATAAATGAATTGAGAGAGCAACACACCTGGCAGTACACGTGGGCATACTCAGACATAGCAATACATATTCAGCACCGAGGGGAAAGCATGTAGCTCTCAGGAATATAACTGAAGTAATGAAACATGCATGCCTATAATATATGCCTAATCATGATGGCAAGGGTAGCAGCTCACTTACAGTATACTCCGTGTCCACAATTATGCATTAACCATGCAGAAAAATACACCCACTGGCTAATAAAACAGTGAAAGCTTGATAGTGATATAACTATCACTATCAAGAGGTCAAGAAGAGGTCAAGAAGCTGCTTGCATAAGTACCAATATACCAGCCTTCCTGAATCTATGCACATCCTTATTGGTATCACCAAAAGCAAAATCCAGATAGCATGACAGGCATTAAAGCTGCAATATTACCTTGCTATGGTTTTGGCAACAGAACAAAAGTAAATGGCCTGCTTTTTAATTATAGGCCCACTGTTCTTGGCCTTTGATCATGTTCACTGAGGATAATAATAGATCATGGTAAAAAGTATCTAGAGGGCATGAGGAATTCCTCATACTCTTCAACTACAATGAATGAACTGATTTATTGTCAGTTCTTAAATGTTATTATCCATCTATTACAACTGTCATCTTATGGTGACTTAATTCAAGTATCATTCTCCCATATGAGGAGCACCTGCTATAGCCTGCCTCAATAAAGAATTCTCAAAAGAGAAAAATTACTGTCACTTTTCATATGAATCCTATCCTCCATAATTGTTCGTATCAATCTCTGATTGCTTAGGTAGGTATGAAATGGCAGCAATATCAGAGCTGTGATATTGGCAGCAATATCAGAACAATATCAAATGGTAGCAATATCTGAGGGACCGTCTCTTGCCAGTCACATCTACCCGACCCATCAGAGTGAGGAGGCAGGAAATGTTGTGGGTCCCATCCCCGAGGAAGATATACCTGGTGGGACCAGAAGAAGGGCCTTGTCTGTGGTAGCTTCCTCTTTCTGGAACATCATTCCCCCAGAGATTAGAATGGCCCCCACTCTAATATTCTTTCGGATGGCGCTGAAGACCTGGTTCTGCCAGTGGGCCTGGGGAACCCAGAGCGGGATGGAACCCATTAAATGGCTCGTGTGATGTGCTGTTACTGGGGTGGGGGTTGTGAGAGATGGGGAGTGATTTTGTTATATTGTACTATATTAATTTATTTTATTCTTTTTGTTAGTTTTTATTGTCTTAAATGTGGTTTTATATTCTGTAAGCCACCTTGAGTTGCCATGGGCGAATAGGCGGCAATATAAATTCAATAAATAAATAAATAAATAAATATCATAGAAAAGCAATGAGACCACAATGTATTTGCATCTGTTTATGTCACCAAGTAAGCTCACTCCTAAGTACTGAGTAAACTAATTATCCAAACTAAGAAAACAAGGCATATCTACTAGCAGTACAGCAGCAGATTATTCTTCCCATTAAAACAACAATGACATCTGCACTAGAATGATGAGGATGAGCTACTGTGTCAAACCAAAGAATTCTCTGGAAGTAAGAACATACAGGAGAAACCAGACCTGGAGAAGGAGTAAGAGAGCAATGGAAAGGTTGGAGATAAAATAGATCTAAAACAGAAGTAAAGATTTGTATTGGAACAATGTGATCAAACTAAAGACACCAAAGACTTTCTCCACTGTCTTGGTGATGGGCTATAGCAGTGGCTTTCTATCTTTTCTTCAGGATGGACCCTTTTAAATAACTTTTGTGGCCATAGGCCCCCAAGACTTGATTCAAGATTTAAATCATAACATTTCTTCAAGACTTCAAGGGACCCCGTGATGACATTGTGGTGCCCCCAGGGGTCCATGGACCACAAGTTGATAACTACTGGGATATAGATTGGTACATAGCAGTCAGAGAGGGAATGGGTAGAATCTGCTGAAATCACAACTATTGACATTGGTAACCACATATAGCACAGCTAAGCAACCTTTTAGTGGTTAGGGCCTGCAATTTTAGTGGATTATAATGCAGTTTGGATGAGATCATGTTCTTCATCAAAGTAAGCCAAAATGTTGTGTTGCTCTTGGCTTGGAAGGTGATTTCAAGGTCTTTTCCTTTCAGCTGTAAAATACATTTGATTTATTTATTTGACCATTTTCATGTGTTTACTCTCAAAATGACAGAAAACTGCAACACCAACTTTTCAAGGTTTTAATCAGAGGTTTTATTTTAGCAGTTTAAAGAGAGAGAGAGTTGATACTATGTGCAATCCAGTGCCTCAGATTATACACATCAGAGGATAAATGCACCTGAAAATATGTAAAAGTATGCATGAGACAGCATAAATGAGCATTAGAATAAGAATAAAAGGAAACAATAATGCAGCTTCACTCACTTGTCCTAACATGGAGATACGTAAAATTGAGAAACAGTTTCAAACATATTTAATCTGAACCCAGAATAGGGCTGGCCATAAACTCATTAGAAATGTAGAGTGCCGTGAATCATGAAATCATGTTTTCTATTTTAATTCTGGCACTTTAAAAATAGATATTATCACAGGTTGCCACGTTCCTTCCTTCAGTTCTTTAATTAGTACTGTGCCTAATCCAAACCAGAGAAAGAATCCCAAGTTCCAACCAAGTTTCAGGGTGAATTAAGCACAGTATTATCTGATGGGGCCCCTCCACCGACGGGGGAATGGAGAGGGCACAGTGCTTGGCAGGTGTATTTTCTGATTAGCAACAATGTCCTCAACAGCACCAATCTTTTGATTCTAGTGACCATTGTTTAAGTACACACAGAATGCAACTCGCAGACATGATAATCTGAAATGAAAATATCAGGGAGACCCAAGGGTTTGACATTAATTGGAGTAGCAGGAAATGCTTAATAGGGGCAATAGAGGTGGGCCTTGCTGAGGAGCTGCTGCAGCTACTCCTTGACTGTATTATTTTATTTCCTTCTTTTTAGCTCCCCGATTTGCATTTAAACTACACGGCAGTGTAGCATGTGTATTTTTAAAAATATGCACAAATGATAAGAGCCTTTAGACATGGGCTGAGAAAACAAATTTAGATTCAATGACCATTGATGCTTTACTGGGAATTGTAAATCATCTCATCAGCATTGGCTTATATAATCTCCAAGAACGCTGTATCTTGGATAGTTGGGGCTTCTGTCTCTCTGTCTTTTTTGTTGTTGAATTGTCACACTTCCTTCCCTCATACAACATACTTAAAGTAAAATTTGGCTAGTTTGTGTTTGGTTTAGTCTATTGTATTGATTCGTTTCACTTCATTTGTAAACCAAGATTTATAGTTTAGTGCATTTGCCAATCAAATCAATTATATTTTACAAAAGAAATACAGTCAAGCTACAACCTCACCTAGTATATGAATAGTGTTTTGTTTAAATCTTTTGAAAGTATATAAATTTTCTTTCCATTGCCTCCCCTTCCAATTATGAAACCAAGACTTATGTGTACTTTCCTTTAGTAGCTCTCTATTCACTATTCAAAACATGGTGCAGCAAATATACCAATTCTGGACACTCTAAACATAGATCTATCTATCTATCTATCTATCTATCTATCTATCTATCTATCTATCTATCTATCTATCTATCTATCATCTATCTATTTATTTCACCTTGAGTCAAAGACTTTAAGCCCTGATTCTTGCATTCCAGGGCCCAGTTTATTGGCATTTCTGCATTACCATTGTTTTCACTCTGTGATCTCTACCAAGCAGTCTGAAGAAAACGATTTTATTTCTGGCAATTCAGAAATATTGAGGATAAAAAAATGAAACTCACTGTTTACTCTGAACTACCCCAGGTCTTGCAGTAACAAAAACAAATTAAAAACTCTAAATCTAGTCCATGCTAAAGAAAAATAAAATACACTACTTAGCATTCCCTATCACCATCCATGTCCTTACTTTTCACTGAGTTAATGGAAAATCTCATCAGTTCATCTGAAGGGGAGGGCTATCAGACCCTAGGGCACCATAAAATCTTATCTTTTGTCAGGTCTAGTCACGCTTTCTTAAAAGCTATGCTGTTGCTATTGTATCAGGTATTATCCTGGTTTATAGGAAGTACTTTCTTAAGGTGATTCCCAGGCTAAATGTTTTGAATCAACTTATGCAATTTGTGGTTAGGAAACTAGAGAAACCAAGTCTGGTTTCTGTTCTGCCCATTCCTCCCCATCTCAATTACTATGTAATTAGTTCCTCTTTCTGGCAAATCATAGTTTGTTATTTGCCATTAAGTTTGAATATTTGTTTTATATTTTAATTTCAGTTTTCATATACTTGCTCCCTAAAGTCTTTTTTTTTTTTTTTTTTATCAATGGAGGCAAACAGAAAATGAGATGTTCTAACCAAAGGCTTAAAATGAAAAATTATTATTTCAACTTTCTGACCAATATTGATTATAAAATTTGACAAAGAAATATAGGTTGCTGGTGCAGAAAAATTATTGTTTATAACAGCTTTATCCTATCTGATGCTATTAAAATATATTGGAATCCCTAAGGACCTAAAAGGTCCACGTTGGAGAAGTGTCATTTATACCAGTTTTTCTCAACTTCGGCAACTTGAAGTCAGCAGCTGTCTGGGGAATCCTGGAAGTTGAAGTCCACACATCTTCTGCTTGCTAAGGTTGAGAAACACTGATTTATGCCATAAGTGATAATGGTCATTGAGCTCTGCCTTTATCCTAGTTCAGATTCCATGTCATACGGTTTTTGTCATATAGCTGCCAATGAATGAGTTTTGCCCAATATGTTAAAATTGTTAGAATTCTTGCTTGACACCTCTTTTCAAGGCCAAGCTAATCCTGGAATTAATTAAAAAAAAAATCAGGAAATAGTATCTTTAAAAAATATACCGTATTTGCCGGCGTATAAGACGACTTTTTTGCCCCGAAAAACATGCCTCCAAGTGGGGGGGTCGTCTTATACGCCGGTATATCCACTGCCGGCTTTCGGATGCTTGTTGGACGCAGCGAAGGCGCCTCTGGCTTCCCGGATCCCCTGCGTCGCTTCCGCTTCATCCCGCTCGCCTCGCTCCGCCCGAGGCTGCAGCCTTCCTGCTCTTCCCACGGCCCCTGGCACTCCGCCCTGCCGCTGCAGCCCCGGGGATTTCTGGAGGGCGTTTCTGGTGGTGGTGGGGGGGTCGTCTTATACGCCGGGTCGTCTTATACGCCGGCAAATACGGTAACACCTATTGTATTTTTAAAATTATAAAACTGAATCCACATTCCTAGCTCTTATTTCTTTCTCTTTTTTCATCAAGGGAGACAGTATTATTAGTTACATCCCCCCTCTCCATCCCTCTCTCTCACACATACACAACCTTTATTGTCAGTCGCTGTGGAATTAGTGTCATTCTTGCTGAATTTTAATAGTCAATTGATTATCAGTTTTGATTCACAAAATGTGTGAGGAAGATATGCATGTATACTCAAAGTGTGACTCGGTACTTTAATTGTTGGTATAAATTGATATGCATTTGGCAACCACAGATAGCTTTTTTTCCTTATGTAACACCTATAAAAATGCTGTAGCAAGGGTTAGGCTGGCTTGGTTTACAGACACTGCAGCTTTAGTTCATGATCCAAAACAACACTTACATTTTGCTTTTGCTTTTGCTTTAAGCATGCATTAAAAAAGTACTTTTGCTGGACAGTAGCAAATGGAACTAATCTTACCTGGCAGGCGGACAAGGGAAACCAGTTCTGGCAAAGATGTGCTGAAGCACTTTTCTAATCAATAAACATTTGCTGAAAGTGTCAACCGCTTGCAGAGAATAGGTGGCATTTTAGAAAGTCATGGAAAACGTGCCTTTATCATCAGCAGGAGGAGAAGGGAAGAAAAGCTATGCTGCCCCCCCCAAAATATGACACTACTGCAGGACAGAAAGGAACAATAAGACCTTTCCAAACAGGAAACGTGGAACTGTCCTCACCTTGTATCCCCAGCTAGCATGGCCATAGAACAACACCGATCTTGTTCAACACATTAGCATCTTAGGTATCTTTTATCTGTTTTTGATCAAAAACACATAGAAAAATACACAACAAAATAATGGAATCAACTGTTTGAACAAAAAGAAAATTTAAATAGTAATAAATTATCTTAAGCCTTACTATGCTCCCTTTAACTTGTGCTAATGGCTGCTAGATAAACAGTGATGCCACTGTGTTATAGGAAGCAGAAAGAGTTCTATTTCATGAATACTAATAATACCTACAAGTGACAGTACTGTATGCTTCAACACAAATTCTCTCTCTTTCTCACTCACCCCCATGAGAATTTAAATTTGGGTAATCTACTGCCCAGCATATTTTACTTTACAAGAAATCCCTTGGCTTAACACCAGGGAAAATGCCACATCCTT